CTATGAGAGAACATGTCGCCGGTGAGACGCAAGTCCAGGAAGAACGGAATAAGGTAGAAACACATTTTTTTTCCTGATGAAAGAAGAGAGTCTACTCTTTCTTTTGGTGTGTTCGGTGTTTACATAGTCATAGCACAAACTATTCTGTGGCTCTTGAAATTTTCAGAAATCTCTGTTCTGAAAATGGCTGGCAGTCAATGAGTTAATATCAGATAGAAGGATAGAGTCACTGTCACTAATTCCTGCTGGATACAGGAGAGGACATTTTGAAGTCTTTAGAATTAGGCATTTATTTTGTTTGTATTTTTTTGTAAGGTAAAACACTTATTACTAAGAATTCACTATTGTCAACATTCAAAGTCAGTAAAAATCCACACGCTTGAAGCAGTAAGACGGAATGATGCATGCTGGGAAATGTTCACCACAGTCTCATTTCACATTTGTGGTCGTGTTGTCAAGGTTTGCTCCATGAAAGCCAGGATGAATCCATCCTGGCTGAGAGGGCTTTTCTGGAGGCCAGGAGGCTGCTGAGAGGAAACGAAGTAAAGGAAGAAACACTCATAGAAGAGGAAGAGAAAGACTCAGAGATAAAAAACGAGGAAAAAGTCCACCAGGACTCAGAGGAGCCGGTCTCATCTCCACCACCTCTCACTGTTGAACAAGGTGAGCAAGTGTTAAATACAACAGTCTGACACGCTGTCAGGAAGGTATCCAGGTTTATATATATTTGGTTGACAATCTTATCTTTTCTGCCTCTGTGCATATACAGTGGGGGAAATAAGTATTTGACCCCCTTGCTGATTTTGCAGGTTTGCCCACTTGCCCAAAGAATGCTTATTTTTCCTCATCAGATGGTTATCAATTTTTATAAATTCATATGATGTGATTTTCTGGAATTTTCTTTGGGATTCTGTCTTTCACTGTTAGAATGTACATATAATTAAAGTTATAGATCGTTGCATTCTTTCTAAGTGGGCAAACCGGCAAAATCAGCAAGGGCTCAAATACTTATTTCCCCCACTGTATGTTAATGTAGTGATGAAACTTGGTCCCTAGAGCCTAGAGTTACCTGGAAACCTTTCTTCTTCCAGACCCAAATTGTTTGGAGGTGGACAAAGAGGAACACAAAGAGGTTCCAGCACAGGACGCCAGCTCTGTAACAGCTCCAACTAAACTCACATCCACCATTTACACTCAGACGGTTCAGTTCCTGCTGCAGAACAACGCCCTGCAGGTACAGAAACAGAGCTCTGTTTCCTTCTCAGCCAAAAAAAATCGGTCAAATGTCCAAAATACCCACGGTGTGTAACAGATTATGAAGTGATTAATGACCATGGTGGAGAACAAAATAAACTAGGTTACATTGAATGTCTGTATCTAAACTTTTAACCCTTTAAAGCCTGATCCAAGAAAAATAGTAAGAATATTTGATTTTTTTAGTCTGAAGTCTTTCTTTGGCCCCTCAACAACATATGGAGAAAAAAAACAGAAATTATTTTGACCAAATTAGCCAAAAATATATTTTGGTGTAGACATCTACTGGCTGTTATCAGGTATATCTGAATGTGTACAACAGGGGTTTGTGCAAAGCTTTTACCACTGAATGATGCAGAAAGTCTCACATCCAAAAGACTTCAGAAACCAGATCTATCAGATATGACACATTTGGCTTTATAGGGTTAAACTCATAGAGAAATGCCCCATAAATGTAATAAAAAGTAAGTTAAATAAATGTAAGTCTGCCCATGATGGGAAACAAAATAAACAAGGTTACATTGAATAGATAGATAGATAGATAGATAGATAGATAGATAGATAGATAGATA